TATTTCTTTGACAGATTATTTGTAATATATACTTCTTGTAATTTAGGCGCATTCCCTTGAGAGGTAGGCGCGTCCTAACTTTATTGCTTGTAAGAGCAGAGGTAGAAAATAGGATTAAGAAGTAATTATATATTATGTTATAAGACTGCCTCTTCTGAGCCTTTATAAGTTTCTTCTTATACTTAAATAGATTTACGTATAAAGTTGATTATCTGTATATGTATATCTATTATATTTGCTAAATTTATCTTATGTGAAAAGTAGCTTTAAAAGCTAGTAAAATACTTTATAATTATTAGACCTTATTTTAAGTTATTTATAGCTTTATTCTTAGTACTTAACTAATATTACTAATATTAGAAGTGCTAAAGTAGTTAGTATAAGAGTATAAAGCTACTAGAGATATAATTGCTAAAAGGCTTTAGATTACTATAGAAGTAATAATAAATAAAGTAATACAAGATTAATTATTTGACTTAGTTAGGCTAGACTATATGCTTTATTAAAGAGCTACTTACTGCCTTCTATACGCAAGTTTGCACTCTCTCTACACTACACTAGAGCTTTTTGAATCCTCAAGGCTATTAGCAAGGGCAACGCGCTACAAATAGACCTGCCTGCAGCCTAGAAAATACATTAAGTGATTAGCAAGATCCATCTCGACCCTGCTTTAAACCCTGATGACAATCCCTATTAACGAAACCTCCCCCCTCTGCTAGATCATATCAACAAACAAGGAATAGAATAATAGAAGGTGAAGAAGATAGTTAGTAAGCTTATTAATAATAAGGCAATATCATATAAAGTTAGATGAGAAGAATATAAAGCTAAAGATGACACTTAGGAGGATGTAATAGTGCTAGAGTAGGCCTAGGAGTCAGTTAGGGCGTACGAAGAGGCTCTAGAGCACTCTAGGCTCTGGGGGCGTCGACAAGCTGACGGCTTGATGCTCTATAGAGAGCCACAAGGGCGGCTGCGGCGCTAGATCAAGATCCATCAGCTCTTCTAGCCTTTATGGCACTAGTCAACAAGAATCAGATATACACAGCAGCATTTGTACTTGTTACGGCACAAAATGCCCTATGGCCTAGAGAGGCGTTAGGGCAGGGCATGGCATTGGCCAAGCATTGGCTGCGCGCCAAATGCTCCACCAGTGCTATGCCGCATCCGGTCTTAGGGCTGAGGGCTAGGGCAGGCTTGGCGCCCTGCGCGTCATACCTCTATCCTCGCCTCTATAACACTTAAATAATCTAGCCTTTATCATACTAATTAACATAATTATATAGTTGCCTTCTATAGCTTCTTTATATAACTCTCTATTATCTCTATAACATCTTATACCCTATTATATAGCTTTCTATATAACAATATTAGAAAGACTATAAGCTTAATAATAAAAAAAAGTAACTCTAAATAAAAAGAGTTATCTATTACTAATTAGTTATAATATTATAATTAGGTTTATTTATATTATATAAGTATAATTTTCTTCTTAATAAGTCTATATGATAAAGAAGAATTATTTTATTATATTAATTAATATAATTCTTTATTCTTAAGAACTATTATAAATAATTAGATTAAATTATAAAGAACTTATTAGTTACTCTCTTGCCTCTCTCTCTCTTTGTCTCTTTATTAAAGTTTGATTTTGTTATAATAGTTCTGATGTATATTATTACTTAAGGCGTGAGCAACTTTCTAATAAGGGACGCTTATAATAGAATAGCTTTTATAGTCACGTGTACTTGCTTAGCTAATCAGATAGTTTAGATAGAAGTGCTGTAGAATAGGAGATTCTATAGAGGAGGGCATCATGCCTCCTTAATATTACTTACTTGGCCCTCTTCTGAACGCTCTCAAATTTAGCTATCTATGTATAGCCAAATATCCTGCTGCTATCTATAACGGATATTTACGCATCTTTGTCGCTGCTATACAAGTCGTGCTAAGACGAACTATATTACTCTTTAATAAGTCTAATTTAATATCTTTTATTATACCTTTATATATCTTAACTCTATTATATAGCAGACTTTCTACTTTAGTTTTATTTTTTAGTTCCCTTAATTAATATATTATAGTATTATAATACTTCTCTTTTTTTTATAGCTAGTCTATATTATTATTATAATATTTTTCTTAGTTAAATAAATAATAGAAGATAAGAATATTTAGTAATAGCATTTTATTCTTATTCTCTTAGTGTTACTATTATCTATAACTTATAGTCTATTAGCTAGACGTCTAAGTAAGAGTATTAGGTAATACAGCTTACTACTAGTACAGCTATATAGCTAGTAATCTCCTTGCAGGGTAGCATAAGCTACTATAACTGCTAAGAGAAGTTAGCTATATATATATAGCCAACCTCCTAAAGTAGCTTAGCGCTACTCTAATAATTATATGTCCTAATTACTTATACCTTAATATAGGAAATCCTTTTTAAGTAATTACTAGAAAACCTAGATAGTATTAAAAGTATAAAATAATAAAGTAAGAACTTTACTAAAGAATAAGATTAATTATTTTCTAATAATTCCTAAAATATATTTTTTAATCTATTTGTCTACTATATAATAGAACTTGTCTTTATTTTTTGAAACACTAATATAGCATCTAACCTTATTTATTAGTTATATATATTATACAAAATTTTATAGTCAATTACAAGTTCTTTATCTTTCATCATTTTTTTAATATTCTTTAGTAGATTGTCCTTAGCTTTACGTTTCATCTTTATTAACTCGTTTTTATATCTTCTATTAATAAGAATAATATTATACTTCTTGTCTTCTTCTTTATAATAAGTATATTATTTTATATCTTTAATTTTATATATAATTATTATCTAGTTATATATAAGAGTATAAGACTCTTAATAAGCTATAAAACTTAATAAAGACAAGTTTAACTCCAAAATTAGCAATTTTACTTTATATCTTAAGATATTAGTTTACTATTATAAAGAAAAAGGAAAGAGATAAAGAAAAGAAAGACAAAAAGTCCTTAAAGCAGAGAAAAAAAGAGTATTAAAAAGAGATCGCTTTTTTTAGTCCCTTTCTTAGGATTAAAAACTTACCCTCTTCCTCTAAAAATAAAATCCCTCTTCTTTATATAAAAGAAAGAAGATAATAGTATTAATAATAGCTTAAGAAGTAATTTATATATATAAAAGAGCCTAAGACTTTCTTAAAAGTATAAATATCTCTATATTATTTTTAAAGATTAATTAAATATATCTTATTTTTGTATATTCAATTTGTAATAAAGCTCTGAAATATTAATATAATAATAAAATAATAGTTAGAGAACCTGAAGGCTAAAAAATAATAATAAGAGAAGTAGAAAGAAAGTCTCTTTTAAAAAGCATATAAATATAATATTAAGTGTAAGGCAGAGGTGTATCTTAGTATTAGAGTTAAGAGAATGTCGAACAAGTCACTCTAGTACCCTGTAGCGGCTCTCATGGCATGCTCTGTTGTTGTTGAAGAAACTATCTAGAACTGGCAGTGCTGCCTCCTTTAGTATTTCCTGTGCCATGGCACAGGAGATTAGGGCACAAGACTTGTGGCGTAGCGCTAAACCGCTTTGGGATTTGGCTGTACAAGCACAGCCAAATCCCCTGACGCTTACTGCAGGCTAGTAGTGCACCTGCTCCTGCTACTCGCACGCTGACCCTACGACCGTATCAGCCGTAGGTTTCGACAGAGAAATAGCTAAATTTTATTTTTAATTTAGAAAAAATATAAGAATAATTACTAACAGATAAGCAGATAGTAGATTACTTACTTTAATAGGTCTTATATAGGCTGATATAGATTAGGATAACTATTATTTAATCCCTATACAATTAATGCTCTAAGACTTCTAATGTCTGAAAAGAGATTAGAAACATCAGGAAAAGCTGAATAGTAGTGAACAGAGGGCGGATAATAAATGTATTGTTAAAGCAGCCAGATCTGACATCTTAAAAGATTAATGCTATGTTTGCAATTTACGTTGGCTGGTATTAACTTAAAGAACTGAAAATAACTTGATTATATATACTCCTATATTTAGAGGGATAGGTCGCTATTTCTAGATGTTGTTATTTCTGGATAAGTTTAAGAGTTTGTGACGGTCAAGGGAGAAAAGAGGTCGACTTTCTGCTGTTAAATGAACGGGCAGTTTGATAGCAACTAGGGGTGGAAAAGCGGAAGTGGGTTGACCTGCTAGTGGGATGATTGGCCTCAGCAGTGGATATCTTGGTGTAGTGATCTCTCAAATTTTTTGCTGCGTTCCTTACTCGCAAATATAACTTATGATTCAAAAATCGCCATGGCTTGCGGTAGCGAACGACATACCGTCCATAAGACGTGGCAAAAACTGTACTGCTACTCTAAAGTATACGAAAGTACTAGTATTGGGCACCAACGCCTATATAGAATCAAATTCTCCGGGCACGTCATTCCGAGTGGAAAAGGCTCTTAAACGCGCAGACGACTTCTACAATCTTTTCGCAAGACGATCGTACTGTATCACGAGTAGGCGACATGCTCCTTGGCTCAAATGATGAATTCTACGCTAAATATAACCTTAACGCCTCTAATTCGAATTCTCCTCCGAATTGCTCCACACCAGCTTGACCAGTTGAATGGCATCTATTGAGCGGACGCAAGGCTGATTCAAATGTTTTCCAACACCTGAAATTGCGATATTACGAAAGTACAACTGTGTAGTATCTACCAACTAGGCTAAAAAAGGCCCTATGTTATGATACTTACCAAAATTTTGCTGTGATTGGTACTTTTAGTAATTTTCGAAGTGCAACACAGGCCAACCTTAAATAAAAGTGACCTAGACCCTCCTGCGGAGGGAAGCCCCAAAGGGGCTTAGTGTGGCCTTGCGGTCACGTGTCCAAAGCAATGGGTGGTCTAGGAATCCAAGGCAAAGTGGTGAGTCTATCAGTAACTATGCCAGGAAGACATAAATTACATGTCCTATGAAAGAAAGTCGCTTCAAAGTCCAATCTCGTGGTCCCCCCTCTGCCACTCATTTAGAGCTTCACGTGAAGACACTGTGTCAGGATGGTCAGGGCCAAGGATATGCCTCTGTAGCTCGAAGCACTTTTCCATCATTAGGATAGCCTCTTCATTCCGGTTTTGGGACGTCCACGTGTGTGCCAGGTTGGCCATACTGATCAGCGTGGAAGGATGCTCCTCCCCAAGCATCCTCTTTCTCGTCTCCATCACTTGCACCTCCAGCTCTTCCGCCTCCTTCCACCGCCCTTGATTCCAGTACGTTGACGCCAGGTTATGTAGCTCGAAGCACTTTTCCATCATTAGGATAGCCTCTTCATTCCGGTTTTGGGACGTCCACGTGTGTGCCAGGTTGGCCATACTGATCAGCGTGGAAGGATGCTCCTCCCCAAGCATCCTCTTTCTCGTCTCCATCACTTGCACCTCCAGCTCTTCCGCCTCCTTCCACCGCCCTTGATCCCTGTACGTCGACGCCAGGTTGGCCATGCTGTTCAGCGTGGAAGGATGCTCCTCCCCAAGCACCCTCACACTCATCTCCATCACTCGCACCTCCAGCTCTTCCGCCTCCTTCCACCGCCCTTGATTCCTGTACGTCGACGCCAGGTTGGCCATGCTGGTCAGCGTGGAAGGATGCTCCTCCCCAAGCACCCTCACACTCATCTCCATCACTCGCACCTCCAGCTCTTCCGCCTCCTTCCACCGCCCTTGATTCCTGTACGTTGACGCCAGGTTGGCCATGCTGCTCAGCGTGTCTGGATGCTCCTCCCCAAGCATCCTCTTTCTCGTCTCCATCACTTGCACCTCCAGCTCTTCCGCCTCCTTCCACCGTCCTTCGTCAAAGTAGGCGCTTCCAACAGTCCCCCATACGAATGGCATCCTCGCTTCGTCAATCCCTAACCTAGTAAGGCATTCCCAACTCAAATCAGGTATGTGTGTAACCATATGCCTTCGAAACTGCGGCCTCGCCATTTCTTCTGAAAGCTGTGCACAAGCTGCAGTAGTGGCCATAAGATGCCAGCGATCCCACGGCATGGCTTGCTCAAACTTTGTCGCTCGCCACTGGACCAGCCCATGCATTCTTACACCGTCCCAGTCTCCATGAGTCCGCTGCAATAGGTTATACCGAATAAGCACGTTGCGACTCTGCCGGTAACAGAAATCGTCCCATTCCTTTCCGTCAAATGCCAGAACCTTGGCGAGCCATTCAGGAAGTTCGGCAGTCTCGTCGTACATTTCCCGGGTAACACTAGATATGCTTAGGCTGGCCAGCCGGAACAACTCGTCCTGCACCACCCCGTCGCTGAACCGGGCCAGAAACGCAAGCAACCAGCCTGGTCGCAAATCCGCATGACGCCTCTCAATCTTCTCCAGCGTCGTGTCCCACACCGTCCACACCGTCTTGTCGCTCGCGGACAGACCACGGTTATGTTCGCTCTGCAGTAGATCGTCTCGGTGCCGGGCATAGTCCGCTAGGTACTGTCGCGGAGCTTGCCGCTGGTCCGGTTCATTGCCGATATAAGCTCCGGCGAGGTCAATGGCCAGAGCCAAGTACCCAAGTCGCTCCGCTATCTTATCGCAGTCTTCTTGAATATCTTGGGGCACCGGCTCTAGATCCAACCGAAGATGTCGAAGAAGAAGCATCCTTGCTTCCAGTAGCTCCATGATGTCTACCCGGACCTCCTCGCAGCCTCCGTCTACTAGTTTCTGCGACTGACTATCTTGGCTGGTGATGATAACGCTTCCCCGTTGTCCTTTAGGAAGCACCTTCTTGATGCCCCACGAAACGTCGTCGGCATTATCGATGATCACTAGCCATGCTTCATTTGTGTCCTTTCGGCTATAAAGCCATCGGAGCACAGCTTGCACCGTCGGTGAGTCCACGAGACTGGAGCCTTGTGTCTGGGTCCGATCTACTGACAGCTGAAGCTCGCTCGCGCACCGCTCAAAACTCGACCGCACAGAGTCTTCGTCCTTGGCGTCAATCCAGAGGATGGGATTGTAATCGTCTTGATGGTCCTCAACGTACTTCAGTGCTAGCTGTGTCTTCCCTGTGCCGCCGAGCCCGTAGATGGTGAGTGCATGAGGGACGCTAGCCTTCTGATGAGGCACGCGCAGCTTCTCGTCGACCGCAGCTGACAGCCCATGCCGCTCCGTATAGCTCTCTACCGTGTCGATGGGTACAGAATAAATCCGCCGCCGCTTCTGAGATGCGATGGGCCTAATTGTCTCAAGGAGCTTTTGAAAGATCACCCCGTAGTTGTCATCCCTTGATCCAAACTTGTTCAGGCCGTAGTGGTCAACGGGAAGGCCAATGTTATCAACCTTGCTATACGTCGCTGATTGCTCTGGAACACACTACATCTATCCTTAGCGTATACCCCTACTCGGTGATGGCTGGCTTACCCATTCCTCCCACTGGATAAACCACACTTTCAGAACCCGCGTCTTGCGTTGCTCATAGAAGTTAATCACCCGCAGCTTGTCCCTCACGGCATTCTCGAACTCCTCATGCAGATCCCGCAGGGGGAGAGAGTCGTACGCTACTTCTTGGAGAAGCGACGGGTTCGATCCGAGCGGTTGGAGCGCTCGAGCAGCGATGCTTCCCCATGTGCTGAAGCTTGAGCCGCGGTGAGGGGTGCCCAAGAAGAAGACGGTTCTTGTGTAATCGGCAATATCGGCGAATGATGGATTCGTGCTCGCCTGTATCAGCGCCTGGTATAGTCAGCTCCTAATAGACTTGCTGAGACTCTAATCCGAGAGAGTCAGACCGCGCTCCTTCCAAATAGAAGAAAACAGCCTTACCCGCTTAATGACAAGGCCTCCATAGCTATGGCCGACGAAGACTAGATGCCGCGTCTGCTCCTGGAAAACATGTGCCTCAGCACTTGGATCTAGCCTAGTGCGCAAGGCGTACCTACCTCTGCTGTCCCCCGGATCTGCGAAGTTATGCGGTCGAGCAAGCTCTTTCCAAGACTCCATAGCCGCGCTTGAACAGCATCCCTCTTCCAGTACGAATCGTAGTTATAGAAGAAGATTCGAATGTCTTTGTGGAACGACGCGGGGATGTCTTGTGGGAGGAAGTCGCTGACCCAGCATTGGCCGTCTCTTGGTCTCCAGGTTGTGTCAGGGTTCGAGCCTAGGCCGTGGACGAAAATAATGCTAGACAGTTACATTTAGTAGACAGCTACATTTAGTAGACGGCCTTTTCAGGTCGTGAGGACCTGTGAACTTACTCGATTCCATGAGCGCTTGCATGCGAGCTAAGCTTGTCCGCTCTGACGAGACCGAATGCGCTCCTGGGCGCCTCTTCGGCTCGCAATCGTGACGGGATCCTCTTCGTGAGCTGATCGTACAGCACAGCCGCTGATGCGATGAGGATACAGAGGGATAACGCGGTCCACATCGGAGTCTTCGTCTCTAGCGCGAGTGCAGCCCGATCCGAGAAGAGCAGGGCTTAGGACAATCAGGAGCGCGCAGGCCTTGAGTGGATGAATATCTTAAAGTCGCGGAGGAGAAGCGAAATAGCAGTGGCATTGCAGGCACAACTGCAGGAGTATATCTCCTCTGCCGGTCACAAGGCTGGCCGAGGCAGGCTGGAGCTGAGCCCCGGAGGCCGTCTTGGAGGCGACACGTCGCTTTTCAAGCCCCAGCTGAGAGGACTAACCAATCTAACTAGGTATATCTCTCCATCCCTCGCCCGTCGACCCAATTGTCAGCAGCACACATACCTGAAGCATACTATTCAACATCGGCATTCTCTATGGCTGATTTGCGGCCCCTCTTACCACCCTTCTCTGAGCTGAGTGCTCTTTGCAAGCAGCGTTTGACCCCTCTACAAAGCCATGGACAGCCGAGTTCTCGCGGAAAGTCACGGTCTCCGCCAGACAATAATCCGGATCCGGATCAGCCTATCACCCACGCTCCAGGAGAACCTAGCATAAGCCTCACCCAAACCGCCGTCTGCGACTTTCTCACGTCAGAGCTTAGCACTCCACTCCTTGATGAGCTCTACGATGGTCTATGGCTGGTTGCGCGAAAGTGTGGCAAGAGCATTGACCCCCTGCACAGACAAAAAGTTAAAGCAAGAGAGATCGTTGCGACCGAAGATGCTCATCTACATCTCGTGTGGCATTACAACAAAATATATGTCAAGCCTTTGCCATTGTGTCTGCTCAACTACGACTTCTGGACGACATATCTCCCGCTGCAGGTTGCCAGCACATCCTCCAAAAAGGGCACCTTCGCGATTCGACCAGTTCCTCCCTCTCCAGTATTTGACCGGGCAGCTGCAGTAGGCTTCGTGCGATCCTACGCCTTGCTCGTACGGTACCACGTGGACTTCATCCTTGCACGTGAATCCCATCTCTTTCCCGCCGAACTTGACTGGGTCAAGTGGTCCGAGTTCGTTGCTCATTTTCGAAACATTGAGGACGAAGACGTAGCGAAGCGTTACCATTATGGACAGCTCCGCCTTTCGCGATTAGATTGGGCGGTCCGTCTGTTTCGCCCTTCGTCCGCAACGACTTGGTGGTTCTACGAAATCCCTCACTGGTCGACGGCCATGTATGTAGAGCGAGCAGTTGCACCACTGCTCTTTGGCTTCGCCAGCTTATCCTTAGTGCTGTCTTCTATGCAAGTTTTGCTATCAGTCCCAGATGAGGAATTGGGCTTCAAACACCTAGATGCTTCTTCACTTGTGGACATGAGACGAGCTTTTTGGTTGTTCTCGGTCATGATGTTGCTGTTGTCAGGACTAGTTTGGATATTGCTGTTCGTCATTCCATTCAGCGTGCTTATTTGGCAGCTTGCGTGGGGTTTCAGGAACAGAGGGAAACCCAGAGCTAAAGCCCTTGGGCGGTCTGGATGAAATATTACTGCTAAGGTCTGATCTTGACACTTAAGGGAATAAGTCAACAAGAGGAGGAAGGCTGCCAAGGTACAGGCGAACCAACAGTGAATTCATCAAAGTACCCAGTAGGAAAAATGCGAGTTATTGATGTCCTCCATTCATTCTTCCAGCTAGATTTATATTAGGGTCTATGCATTTTACTATGGATGGCCCTAATCGAGTACCTTCTGGCGCACTATGCCTCATTCTGCCTAGCGTAGCCCATGCAGCATCATACCGAAAGCCCTGCTTTGCGTTAATCATAGCTGTGCCTGAGTTAATGCTCGTGACAAAGGCAATTGAAAGCCAATAAGAATCATATATATTACGTGAATTGCGTACGATAGCCCTTGCGAAAGGCGAGAAAAGACTGCAGTGCTGCTGACAATTGGGTCAATGAATAAGGGATGGAGAGAAATACTTAGAGGTTGGTTAGTCCTCTCAGCTGAGGCTTGAAAAGCGACGTGTCGCCTCTAAGACGGCCTCCGGGGCTCAGCTCCAGCCTGCCTCGGCCAGCCATTCTGACCAGATTACGACCATAACTGAGCAGAAGACTAAAAAAACATCGCTTATCCTAGTACCAGTTCGGAGACTGGACTGGTCGAAGAATGGACTGTTACGGAGAATGAACCGGTACGGAGAATGGACTAATACAGGGAGAATGGACTAGTACAGAGACTGGACTGGTACGGAGATACAGTACTAGGTCAAAAGTATTGGACCGACCCCGCATTTTCACCCCACCAACATTTTCCACTCTTCCCATACAAATTACTACTGTACGCCCGGCATTTATTGGAATCCTATAAGAATCAATTAAATAGTACGTTAAAATCTGCTTTTTCGAATAGTACTAATTTCCTAAATAGGCGACTAGATATCAGAAGCGGGTGTACCATCCCTTGGCCCTGATCACTGCATTTATACGGGTATCCATGCTCTTGATCAAAGCATCAATAGCTTCTTGCCCAATGGCGTCCCAACCCTCATGAATAGCTGTAAACAGACGTTGATACTCGGCCTCAGATTTGCCTATTTTGATTAAGTCAGGGTAGTTGTTATTGATCCATTGCTTGAGTTGCGCCCAGAGATGCTCAATTGGGTTCAGATCCGGACTATAGGGGGGCCATTCAAGCAGAGATATACCCTCCTCCTCAAACCAGGCC